GTGAAAAAAATAGTGAAAATGATATTTAATAAATGATAGTTTAACAATTTTGTTTGATATCGTGTCGCAACATTTCATCGCTCGCAATAATTTCACAAAAATACGCTCGACGTTTGACAAACGACAGGTAATTTCGTTCGATATCGTCGCAACGCGGCCGGAGATATTTTCATAGAAATACGAGAAACAGTTCGACAATTGCGGTGAAACAGGCAAAATTTCGCGATCACGCGATTTGCGGACGTATGTCATAAAAATACAAATTAATTTCTTCACGTCATCATAGTTAATAACGAAGCTAATATCGAGCAACTTTAAAGTGGCAACACTTGTCGAATGTATTTTTACTAATCTATATTTGTCACTGTTTGCAGAATTCGCTAGAACATCGAACACTAGAACACGCCTCGGGCTTTGAAATCGAGCCCAAGTACGTTGCTGCGCGATTGCCAACAAAAAAAAATGCAACAATATCAATATTGAAACGCGACTGTAATACGCAGCGAGGATTTTCGTATAAAATTTTCGAACAGCGAAGTACAAAGCACGCGAAACGTACGTGTGTGTCCGCCCTCTCCGATAATTACACGTTTGACAAATAGCTCGTCGTGTTCGCTTTTCTTTCTTTTTTTTTTTCTTCTTTCCTCTTTTCAAAGAAAACGATCCAATTCGAATTAAACGCGTGCAAATATTAGTCGCTTCGGAGAAGTGCAGTCGCCGGGGGAAAACGAAAAGCTAAAATCACAGAAAGGAACGGCAGCGATGATCAATAGAGGGGGATGGGTGGGTGGCAAGATAAAAATGCATGTGTTTCAATATGTACAATTTATTATCGTGTACCACCGTCCCACCGCCCCCGTGCGTATTTCCGTTCGAGCACGGAACAATATTGCATCGTGCAGACTTTTTTCCTGTTTTCTTTTGTCCGTTTCTTTTTTTTTTTTTTTTTTTTTTACGCCGTCGATCGTACCGGAAATACCGAATCGCGGGGGGAAAAGGGGGGGGGGGTGAATACGAGACCGGTGCCAATACGAAACTTCCAATATCGTCCGAGCAGAACGCTGCCGTGCTCCTCTATTTGTCTTTAATTACAAATATTACCGTTGTATCAAGCCGCGAAATGAAACGAGCCCGTGGCTCGCGTTCGGAGCTAACTAGTTGCACCGACACACCAGGCTGTTTTAATCGACTTTAATCAACGAAAATCCCTCCCGGCGGGATAAAAAACAGGGGAACGCACAACGAAGGGACAACGGGGAACCAGAATTTTTTAATTCAAGGTTGCTTAGCTCGATGTGCATCGTAAAATATCAGCCGCGCGATAAACATCGCGATGTAAATCGATTATGGTGAGTAGATTAACTCGGTTAACTCTTTGGGGGGAGTTAGGTGGGTTTAAAATTGTCCCACATTTATTTATTTATTTATTTATTTTTTTTGACAGTTAATTCATGGTAGGATATTTTTTTTTTTTTTTTTTACCCACCTAAAGATGTGTTATTGTGATAATAAATTTCATTTAGAACGTTAGTTGCATGGCGGGATTATTGATGACCAACTCTGTAAGATAGAATTTGTTTAAATGTTACGTTTGCTTCAGTTTAAGGAATATTTTATGTTTAATAATTGAAATAATAACGTGTTTTTCCTTTTTTTTTTATATTAAAAAAATTCCCTGTAGGTAGAGTTTTTTTTTTTAAATTAAGTGTCCCCAAGGATTAAGAGTCAACCAGACAGTTGTGTCTACATCCTACTTTTTAACATCGAAGGGTTTGACTGATATTTTTTGTAGCAGGCGAATTTTGTAATATTTTTTCATATTCGAGGCTGCGGAAGGAGACTTGCTTGGTATTTCTTGAACCTTTTAATTTCGTTTCGAAATTCTTAATAGAGAATACTATAAATTGATAATTGGTTAAAGTTGATTTGATTTGTTTCTTCTGAGGAAGGTTCGATTTTCGAATAAGTTTTATAAAGATCACCATACTAATTTTACGTTTTTGCGAACGTGATTGAATACTTTTTCTGTTGAACGTTACAAAATATTGCCTGCTTTTTATATGTTTTTTTTTTATATATAATTTTTATATATAATTTTTTTATATATAAGATTCCTGTTGCAATTTCGTGCAATTTCTGCATTCTTGCATCTTTAAATTACCCACAAACGCAGTCTGAAGATCACGATAAATAATAATAAATAATAATAAATAACAAACAGACTGCGAATAAATCGAGTTACAACATTCATCAAACACTTGCCATTTCTCTGTGTACCTCTCGTTCGTTTCCAAATTTCCGTGAATGGTACAAAATTGCATCGAGTCAACTAAAAATCAAACCGATACGATCGTACGATTGATCAAGAACCTCAGGAGGAACATCAGTTTCCAGTGAACGTTAATTCCAGTGAAGCGTGGCGAAAACTGCCGCAAACGACGACGCCGATTCTGATTGAAACGCGGGTCCTCTACATTCTCGAAACAACCCCTCGCGTCGAGAGGTGCTTCTCAAAGAGAAGATCCGCTAATCGACGTGCGGGAATGTTTCCTAGCCAGGGCGCCAAGTGAAAAGGCGAGGCGGTTTTCCTTTTTTTTTTTTTTTTTTTTTTAAGAGAGAAAGGCACCGAAGAAGAGTTTCAAAGAGACGCCTGGGCTGCCTGAATGATGATTCGAAGACGAGGCTGTTGAATGATAATTTTTGTTCTTTGATCACCGTAATTCGTTTCTCCGCGAGTCACCTGCTCGCGAATTATTAGCCACGTTCTCTTTGCGGGACACGTTTCGCCAAATCGATATACTTTCTTTTCTTCTCTCTCTCTCTCTCTCTCTCTCTCTCTCTTCTGCTTTATCCGCGGGGCAAACGCTCGATCTATATTCCGCCGAAAGACCGTAAAGTTTGGATAAGGAAATTAATCGGCTGCTTTCACGCTTCGACGCACCGATTATTTCTCTCTCTCTCACTCTCTCTCTCTTTATTTCTCTGTCCATCGAGATCAGAAGAATTTCGTTTCGAACGCGGGGACGCGGTTGGATACTTAATTTAATGGGACGCGTGTAAATGTGTGCACTGGGAATTTGATCGTTTGCCTTCTGCGAGTCGTTGACGTTTTCGTTATCGAACAATTAATCGATTGCTCTCCTTCGTCTTACATGGATTAACGCGCAACCGAGATTCCCTTTATTCGAGGAGATTTCTCGGCTCGATAACCTTCAATTTCTTCATGGTTACCACTGTGTTCTATTACTTCTTTCGCGTAATTATACAACTATAGAGTGGCCACTGAAAGACTGAACGATACAAACCAAAAATAACTTTTACGAACACATGGTTTCTTAATTTCTTATTATTTTATTTGGAAATGTAATTAATGGATTTTCTTTCTTTGGTATTACGTGTGAATTAAAATCTTTTTTAATTCAGACATAGGTCATCAATCATTTTTGATTCAGGGTGGTCACTGAAAGACTGAACGACAAAACGAAAATAACTTTTACAAACACAAGTTTTTTTAAATTTTTTATTACTTTATTTAGATATATAATGGATTTTTTCCGGTAATACGTGCCAATTTTTATGAATCAAAATCTTTTTTTAATAAATTTTTCAAACCCTTCAGTTTTTTAGTGGCCACCGAAATACAGGGTGGTCACTGAAAAACTGAATGATAAAACAAAAATAACTTTTACAAACACATGTTTTTAAAATTTTTTATTACTGTATTTAGAAATATATTGGACTTTTTTCGGTAATACGTGCGAATTTTTATGTATTAAAATCTTTTTTTTAATAAATTTTTCAAACCCTTCAGTTTTTCAGTGACCACCGAAATACAGGATCGTCACTGATAGACTGAACGACAAAACAAAAATAACTTTTACAAACACATGATTTTAAAATTTTTTATTACTTTATTTAGAAATATAACGGACTTTTTCCGGTAATACGTGCGAATTTTTATGCATTAAAATCTTTTTTTAATAAATTTTTCAAACCCTTCAGTTTTTCAGTGGCCACCCCATGCCAGCTAGATCCCAAGAAATGAATCTCCTCGCCATTTCCAAATAATCGTTGTAAAAAATGTTTCGATTACCCGCGAAATGAATCTCCTTTCCATTTCCAAATAATCGTTGTAAAAAGTATTTCGATTACCCGCGACATGACAATTTACATAACACAACATTATAACACAATTCGTCGCGTATTTCTGTAGTTTGTGTATAACAATTCATTTACAAGATAAAATGAGATTCAAGTAACGAAGAAATATATTTAAATAATTATTCTTTCCACCGCTCGTGAATCCATTCGCTACGTTTCTCCAATAATCGTTAATCCAAATAATCGACGATCCTTCGGGGAGTCGCGCAGTAGCGCGAGATCGCAATATCGCCGACGCATCGAGAACAATGATATTTCACTAGGCAGTTGAATTTAGAGAGAATTTTCAAGTCGACGCACGCGTCCCGCCCCGTTTAATCACCATAAGTGATATCCACCATAAAGCTGTCCATTACTATGCTTATCCACGGGATTTGTCGCTCTGCCGTTTCTTTCTTCTGCCTTCTCCTCTCGTCGCTGCGTCGCGCCGCTGTAACGAACAACTTTCCTCGACTCTTGGAGCTCCTCCAACTGTCCGATCTGGATCGTTCGACGAGTTTGCACTCAGCTCGGCCCATTCGGAACTTGTTTCAATGCTGATATATCCATTTACCTTCTCTTACGTATTTAACCTCTTGCACTGCGATGACCTCGTCACGTCGAGAACTCTTTTGTTCCGAAATTGTAATATTTTCTCAGGTTCGAGTGTATTTAAGTGAATAACTAACCCAGACGAAGAAAATAACAAATTTATTGCTTCTCAATAATTTCAATCCAGTGATATCATACCGACGAGTTTAAAAAGAAAGCGACGAATTGTTGTATACGGTTCGGTCACTCGTTATGGTCCGCAATCGGTTGCCAAGTGGTTAACCTCTTGCCACGCACGTCGAGAACATTTTTGTCCCAAATTGCAACATTTTCTCAGCTTTCAGTACATCTAAGTATAACACAGGCAAAACGAATAATAAATTTGTTAAATTACTTCTCAATAATTTCTATCCAGTGATATCATACAGACGAGTTCAAAGCAAAAGCGACGAATTATTGAGATACGGTTCGGTCACTCGTTATGGTCCGCAATCGGTTGCCAAGTGGTTAACCTCTTGCCACGCACGTCGAGAGCTTTTCTGTCCCAAATTGCAACATTTTCTCAGTTCTAAGTATATTTAAATATAATCCAGGTAAAACAAGTAATAAATTTATTACTTCTCAATAATTTCTATCTATCTACAGTGATATATTATCGACGAGTTTAAAAAGAAAGCGTCGAATTATATGTATACGGTTCGGTCACTCGTTATGGTCCGCAATCGGTTGCCAAGTGGTTAACCTCTTGCCACGCACGTCGAGAGTTTTTTTGTCCCAAATTGCAACATTTTCTCAGTTTTCAATATATCTAAGTATAACACAGGCAAAACGAATAATAAATTTGTTAAATTACTTCTCAATAATTTCTATCCAGTGATATCATACCGACGAGTTCAAAGCAAAAGCGACAAATTATTGGGATACGGTTCGGTCACTCGTTATGGTCCGCAATCGGTTGCCAAGTGGTTAACCTCTTGCCACGCACGTCGAGAGTTTTTTTGTCCCAAATTGCAACATTTTCTCAGTTTTCAATATATCTAAGTATAACACAGGCAAAACGAATAATAAATTTGTTAAATTACTTCTCAATAATTTCTATCCAGTGATATCATACCGACGAGTTCAAAGCAAAAGCGACAAATTATTGGGATACGGTTCGGTCACTCGTTATGGTCCGCAATCGGTTGCCAAGTGGTTAACCTCTTGCCACGCACGTCGAGAGTTTTTTTGTCCTAAATTGCAACATTTTCTCAGTTTTCAATATATCTAAGTATAACACAGGCAAAACGAATAATAAATTTGTTAAATTACTTGTCAATAATTTCTATCCAGTGATATCATACCGACGAGTTCAAAGCAAAAGCGACAAATTATTGGGATACGGTTCGGTCATTCGTTATGGTCCGCAATCAGCTGCCAGCGCAAGCGGTTAATCCGTGCAAGGGGGTAGATATAAATGTGAAACGGGGAAACCTGCTCCGTGTTCGATGCGATTGTTGTGAAAAAACCAAACCTGCGATTGTTTTTCTGTGTAGTCAAATTTTAAGGCTAATAAAGAAAATATTAGAGTGTGTGTGTATGTGCATATTATAAAGATAGAAAGTGTAGATCGTAAGGAAATTATATACATAATTATGAGAGCGTATAGGTCTAGAGAGTATTATAGCTAGTATTTTAGCGATAGTCCAATATCTTCCGTCATCGAGACTTTTTTCAATTATCCGAATTAATTTCTAAATTAATAAGCTTTATTTATATTTATTTTAAACAGCGCAAGTGGGAAACAATCGATAACTTTTGTTTGATATTCTATAAACATGAAACATTATTTATAGAGACTCAAATGATTAATAAAAGTTTGTATACCCTGTTATATTATAAAGTTTCTTTTACTTTAATGTCTCTGATGTAAATTGCTTTAATCATCGATAGTTCTAATGTTAATGTGTGTTAATAATGGATAATATAATCCATAGCAACCGATCTACGTTAGACTGCTAACATTTTACACGAATAACACAATTTGTCATCAGACAACTGTGATAATTCAGTGTAAAATTGTAATAACTCGTGAGGATTGAATTTCCTTTACGTACTGGAATAAAGCGCATCCCTAAATTACGCAAGACGTCAGGAGCAAATAAATCTGCGAACATTCTGCTTTGAAAATCACCGAAGTTCCTTCACCACTTCTCCTCGTGCGTATACGTCTTTCGTATTTCACGTCGAGTAAAAAAGAGTCGATGAGAAAAGAAAAAAAAAAAAAAAGAAGAAAGAAAATCGAAGAAATTCCATGCCACACCGGTGAAAAAAAAAATAATACACGGGCCAACAAATAGCGAAATATTCGGCAACCTTCGTCTCTGTCTTCGGTCGACGAGGAATCGATAAGCGAATCGTTTCCCCAAGGTATCAATCATCGTGCCGACGCGGTTCTTTCCTCTCTCATTCTCGGTGGAAGAAGAAAAGCAACCATCCTACCCCTTCCCCTAGCCTCTATCGAATGTAAAACACGAAAGACGCGGCAGTTTACGAGCCAGCCGAAGAAAACAAGGCAGATATTTCTGTCCCGAAATTGATGCGCCTGTTAAGCGGCCACCGAAACAGATAAGTTCGAAACGGAGAGGGCCGAACGATAAATGGACCGGCGAAAAAAAGAAAAAAAGGCGAGCAAGATTTATCTGGCTCGGGTGTTAACGAAAGCTCCCTTCTTTATATTTTTTCCTCTTTTCTTCTTTTTTTGTTTCTGCTTTTTCGTGCCAAGTGAAACAATCTCTCTCTCTCTCTCTCTCTCTCTCTCTCTCTCGAGAAAAAGAAGAATCGTCGAAATATTATATTATATTATATTATATTATATTATAATGTATTATTATTATTGTTATTATTAAATAACTTACATATATATAAATATTATTAAATAATATTTAACAATTATAAAATAATATTATTTTATTATATTATTAAATATTATTAAAAATAAAATTATTTAATAATAATAATATACATATAAATTACTTAATAATAATATATATATAAATTATTTAATAATAACAATAATTTATCACTAACAATCTACACATGTAAACTCCAGTGAGAGTAGAAGCTACAAGTATCAATAATTTATCGTTATAGATGCTTGAACTTATTTAAATTATAATAATGTAATATATAATATGTCTTCTTGTTTTTTTTTTTTATTCGCTCGGTTCTCCCTGCGTGATTCTTGATTGGTGAAATAAAATAAAATAATCTTCCAACTTCTACTTCTTTCATCTCTCGTTTACAAAGTGAGCAATTATTAATAAATTAAATGCAAAATAAATAATTATTAATAACGTGGGGTGAGGATACGTTGCTTCTGAGAAGAATTTCTTTCTATGAGTGTGTAAAGACGAAGGCTCGTGTGAGCTGACATTCTTAGTATTCTTTAATCCCCAAATTAAGTTCAAACTCTCAAATTCACTTGCTGAAATTTGTTATCTACCAGCGATACTTATTTTCATCTACATTGTTTATCTCTACCTACGACAAATTTGGAATTTCAGTGGAAAATTGTTTCGACTAATATTCGCGAGAGAAGAGAGGAATCCAGATGTGTCGGAATGTTGAAGGATTAGAGTCGGATTTCTGAGAGAATGGCACTCGTCCCGAGTCGAACGGTCGCGAGCGGAGGGTGGGTGATATAATGTTTGTTCGTCGAAAATCGGGAAACAAATTCCCGCGGGAAACGGCGGGAGAGCAGTCTCGAGGAATGACGCATCGCCGAGCCGTGATGCAGGGTAAAAGCCGGTCGATCGCAAATTTCGCGATCTTCTCCCTCAACCGGGAGCAGGATCTTCGAAATTTATCGCGCGTGTGCTTCGCGGAGCGTGCACTCGGCCGCGTAACGAGATTCGAAACGCTTCTTTCTCCCCTCTCGCGCCTCCGGAGCGAACAGACGGAAAATGAACTATAGCGAGATAAACCGAGACCCGATTTTTATCGGATCTCTCTTTCTCTCTCTCTTTCTCTCGAGGCAAGAATCACACTACGCTCGTTTCAGACGTCTTTTCAGACCCTTGTCTCTTCGTTGGAACTTGGACGTATTGTAAACGTCGTTTGACGCTCTTTACGAGCCGTTCGATCAACTTTGTTGGATTGAAAAGCACGAGAGAGACGAACGAATGGCATCAGACGAGTGAATGCAAGTCGTTGAAATCGAATTTTTTGAAAATTAAACATTAATCGCGTCACTTAGAGTGTAAGTGACGAGCGAAAGTCGAATACACGCATGGATTTTTAATATCAATAACATTTTGTCGAGTGTTAGCGTGTGACGAAACAAGTGAAATATATAGGATGTTTTGGCTTTCCAAGAAAAATTGTATGACCTCGTTATCAACGCTATTCTGGCAAATATAAATATTAATTATAATAATGATTATATTTGTAAATTAAATTTAATTTATATAATTTGTATTTTACTTAATTTGTAAATTAAATTTATACTATAATTATAATTATAACAATAAATATCTGTCATAATTATTTTCGTGGAGTTAAATTAATTTAAATGAAAAATTGTCGATACTTAAAACTGTTGTAACTTTGTTAAAAAAAAACATCTAGATCTAGATGTGAGACGTTCTTTTTCCTTAAGATATTTTAACACCACGAAGCAAATAAGAAAGTATTCTTTTCTTAAAGAAAGAAAATTGTAAAATTTCACGCCTGTGTTGAAGATTAAAATTTCCTACCAACAATCAACTTCTTAAAACTTGCTGCACAATTTTTTCCCTGTCATTTCATTGAACTTTGAATAAAGTTTAGAGTTAGGCAACAATAATTCAAAAAATCCCCACATTTCGTCATAACCTTAATATTCAAAGTTCAATAAGATTGCAAAAAAAAAAAAAAAAGGAACTCTTACAGCAAGTTTTAAAATTTCAATTTTCAAAACCACACACGGAAAGAACTTTTTAATATCCTTACACACACGTTTGAATCCACAATTTTCGGGGCTAAAACTACTCTTAGTTTCTCACTCGCTGTAAAAAAAGTCTTTGGAAGAGACTGACTCGAAAGAATCTCATGTGATTTTATAAACTTATAACAGTTTAAGGTATCGGCATTATTTCTCAATGAAATATAACAATGAAACTAAGAAATTAATAAAAAAAAAAGTGGCGTTGATTCGTTTGTCATCCAAAAGTTAAATTAAAACTGTATCGTTACTCGACATTACTATGAATTTTTATAAAACTGCAATTAACAAAAATTATATTAAACTCAAAATCATATTTAAACACTAAACTGAAATTATAAAAGCTGCTAATTCGTAAAAGTCCAATCATTCCAAACATCGTCGCA